CCGCGAGCCGGGATTGGGGGATGCCCCACGGGCGCGTCTCCGTCCATCTGTCCGTCCATCCATCCCGCGGTGGGCGCGGTTGTGCCGTTACCAGAGTCCCGCTGCCTACCAGGAGCACAGCACCACCTCCCGCAGCGTCCGCCGGAGCTCCTGGCTCCGGAAGACATAGATGAGGGGGTCGACCACCGAGTTGCAGATGATGAGGATGAGGAAGAGGTTGAAGTAGCTGAAGAAACAGGTGCAGAAGGGGTTGGTGGGGCAGGTGACGATGAGGATGAGGTGGAAGAAGAAGGGCCCCCAGCAGATGAAGAAGACACCCAGGAGGATGGTGAGCGTGATGGCTCCCTTCAAGCTGCTGCTGCGGTAGATGGTGGGCTGCTTCTGCTGGCTGGAGATGCTGCAGAGGTGGTGGCGGGCCAGGGCAAACATGTGGATGTAGAGCACCAGCATGAGGACCAGCATGAAGAGGAAGAAGCCGATGAGGCAGAGGAGGATGGCATTGTTGCGGTAATAGGTGATGAAGATGGTGCTGGAGATGGTGCTGGCCAGCCAGACGCTGGCCATAGTCACCACGGCCCGTTGCAGTGTCATGATGCTGTGGTAGCGCAGGGCATAGAAGATGGTGATGTAGCGGTCCACAGCAATGACCCCCAGGAAGGAGAGAGAGGACACGATGGAGCTGCAGATGAGCATATCAATTACGTTGTCCATGTGGCGGACAATGCTGGCGTGGATCACCAGCAAGCCGTGCTCCATCAGCAGCATGAAGAGTGTCTCCACCAGGTTGCTGACACTCACCAGCATGTCGGAGACGGCCAGGCAGCAGATGAAGTAGTACGTGGGCGAGTGCAGGTTCCTGTTCTTCAGGATGGCGGCCACCACCAGCAGGTTCTCTACCAGGCTCACCAGCCCCAGCGTGAGGAAGAGCTCGTTGGGGATGTTGAGCCCCTGGCACCAGGCACTGCCAGCCCCGGCCGTGGCGTTGCTCTGGTTGCCCTCACTGGCGTTCCAGGGCTCGCGCAGCAGGCGCAGGGGGGCAAGTGTCGACATGGCCCCCACCTCAGCCTCGGGCCCCCCCGGCTGGGGGCTGAGCCCCCGGGGCCCCCCGCAGTGCCTGCAGACCCCTCAAGCCCCCAGCCCACCCCACCAGCACTCCCGCAGTGCCCAGTGGTGGGGCTGAGGGGATGCAGAGGAATTGGGAATGGGGGTGTCCCACCGCCTGGGGATGTGCCGGGGTTGCTGCGCGCCCACCAGGACCCCCGGTGTCACAGCTGTCCTCCTCACCAGAGCTGCCCGGTGTCCCCGCAACCACGCGCCCGCTGGCCCAGGGTGAGGGGGAAGAAAGGGCCTTTTCTCTGCCCTGCTTTAAAGCCATCTCCAGCGGCTCCTCCTCCCGAGGAGGGTGGGCACCCACATGACGGCAGCAGCCAAGGAAGCCGCCGCAGAGGCCGGACCCCCAGCACGGCCCTGGGGAGCCCAACCGCTTGGGGTTACCATGTGCCTGGTGGTCCCACATGCCCTGAGGGGATCCACACACCCCCGGGGCTGTGCACCTTGGGGGGCTGTATACCATAGGGGGTCCTGTGTGCCCTGGTGGGGATCCCTGCATCCTGGGGGACTGCGTGTTTCGGGGTGGGGGGTTCCATGTGCCCTATAAGCCTGCATAACCTGGAGGGGTGTCCGTGAACCCTGGGGTCCTGTGTCCCCTGGGGTCTCCATGCACCTTGGGGACCCCAGTAGGACCCTCCCCACTGCAGGAGCCAAACTGCCGCTCCCAGCCCCCACGTGTGGGGCCGGCAGCTCCGTCTCCCCCACCGGCTCCACTGGCCTCGCCTGGCCCAGCCCTGGGGAAGGTGTTTTGCTGCGAGGCAGGCGACGGATCCGATAGGGATTGTCAAAGGCACGATTAAACGCGATGCCGCACCCGTGCCCCGGCAAAGCCCCAGTGCCGGAGGGAGCCTGGGGGACGCGGGACCCATCTGACCGTCATGTGCCTTTGGTTGGTGTTGATGCCTGGAGCCACTCTGCTGCCAAAGAGCCATTCACGGCTGCATGAAAAGACCGATCCCATGGTTGTTCCCACCGGCCACTTCCGTTCCTTCCCGCGGAACACCGGGAGCCTTTCCCCGTGGCACTGAGCACCCCGCGGCTCCAGCAGGGATGAAAGGGGCTCAGCTGGATGCGCTGGGAATGGAGTCCCAGGCTGCTGTGGTGCCTTGCTCCTAGCTTAGCTATGGCTAATGCGTGCCGTCAGCCGAGCCAAAGCCCCGGCACTGGGCAAAGAGCAGCAAAACGCCGCTCACCCCCAGGGAAACGCGAGTGGGAGGAATCCAGACCGACAGCCACCGGCTTCCCCCCTTGCCGCCTGCCGCTCGGCTAAAGAGCGCGCCAGTACGTGCCATGAATTTTCAGCTTTATCAACTGAGGCTTTTGAGAGCGGAGCGAGAAAATGCCGAGTCGGCAAAACCGAGCGATGCGAGCGCAAGGCACGGGGGAGCAGACGGGGCTCCTGTGCCGTGGGATTCGGATGTGCCGGCAGGGATGGGGACGGGGTAGGCTGGCCTGAGCCCTGGGGTCTGCGCTGCAGCGCAGACCCCAGGGCTCAGGCCAGCCTACCCCGTCCCCATCCCCGCTGTTGATCCAGGCTGCTCCCCAGGGAAGGGACGCAGCAGACGCTGCAGAAAAGGGGAGGGAGGGGGAAGGATTTATTCCGGGCAGCACAGCCTGGCTCAGCATTAGAGCCACATATACACCGTTACACAGCAGAAAAGCAGGGGGGAAAAAAAAAAATAATAAAAGCTTTGCGGGCAGCAAGGGCTTGAGCGCAGCTGACCTCATTCCTGGCTCTGCACAGCTTCGTGTCCCCACATGAAGGTGGGGAAACAAGGAATTGGGGAGGGAGGAAGGGGAGAAACAAAGAGGGGGGGATCCTTTGTGCTCCCAGACAGCTACCGCACAAGGAAGAGCCGCTCCCGGCACACCTCCGGTAGCATGGGGAGAGCTGTGGCTCCCAGGGAGCCCCAGCCAGCACACAGCTCGTTCCTCCGTACCCTGAGGGACCACACTGGAACAGGGACCTCGAGTTCTTCATCGGCAACCTGGAACGTCCAACGCTGTCAGGGCCTGGAGTGTTTCATGAAGGGAAGGAGGCTTGAGGCAGCATTGCTCAGGAGAGGGCAAAAAAAAGCCTCCAGCCATCAAACGCAAGACCAGGAGAGGAGCAGGCAGTGGAAAGGGGACAGCAAATGTGCTCGGAGGAGGCCAGAAGGGGACTAAGCTGACTTGGGGCTGAGGGACAGCTGCTGTAGATTAGCACTGCCACGTTCAGACAGTCCTCACCACCCGCCGAGAGATACGAAAAGTGCCCGTGGTGGCAGCCTCCCCTGACAGAGCGCGTCCCCACGGAGAGAAGAGGCGCGTGGGCTTTGTGGGACTTTATTGGAGAGCGACACACGTCGCAGGGGGGAGGGGGTGTGATTACAGAGGGTTGGGGGGCCCGGGGGAAGATGCGCACTCTCGGCTCAGTCCCAGTCCCCGTCGCCTTCGGGATTGTCATCTCGGGGGGGTTCCTGAAACTGGATGTTCGCCAGCATGTCCCGCATGGCTGCCATGAGCCTGTTCACCCCCTGGTTAAGGTCCTGCCCTGCTCCAGCCTCTTCATCCCTCTCATGCCTGATGTCCCCCTGCAAGAGAGCAGAGCTGGAGCGGCCGGGCAGGGAGCTGCCTGCCCGTCTGCAGCAGGCAGGGAGAGAGAGACAATGCCGCTTGCCAAAAAGCATCAGGCTGCTCTGCAACCTGACGTTTACACACTGCATATGCCAAGAGCCACTCCCTTTGCAGAAACACTGTGCAGTGGAAAACTTCTGCGTACCGACAGCAAAAGTGTGCTCTGCTCTGCCCGCAGCAGCTGACTGCACATACCTGCAAGTTAAAATTTGGCAACAGCGATCGGAA